ACAACCGATCCAAACAGTCATCAAATGAATCTCCAAACACAGAAAAATCTTCCATGAATATCTCGATGTATTTTTTCACCATGGTAGAGAATATGGCCACATTTTTCCCAATTTAGCACTAGGTTCTTCTCTTCACATCTTTGCAATACAAGAGACAACCGATCCAAACAGTCATCAAATGAATCTCCAAACACAGAAAAATCTTCCATGAATATCTCGATGTATTTTTTCACCATGTCAGAGAATATGGCCATCATGCATCGTTGAAAGATTGTAGGTGCATTGCATAAACAAAAAGGCATCCTTCTAAACGCAAAAGTTCCATAGGAACATGTGAAGGTTATTTTCTCCTGGTCTTCTGGAACAATAACTATCTGATTTTACCCAGAATATCCATCCAAAAAGCAATAATGAGAATGACCGGCCAGCCTCTCCAACATTTGATCAATGAATGGCAATGGAAAATGATCCTTTCTGGTTGCATTGTTCAGCTTTTTGTAATCTATACATACTCTCCACCCTGTCACTAACCATGTTGGTACCAGCTCATTGTTCTCGTTCTTCTCCACCGTGATTCCACCCTTTTTAGGCACAACATGCACTAGACTCACCCATAAACTATCAGAGATTGGATAGATAATACCTGCATCCAACAATTTCAGCACTTCTTTTCTCACTACTTCTTTTAAGGTTGGATTTAATTTGCGTTATCCTTCTACTAATGGCTTTGACCCGTCCTCCATTAAAATCTTGTGCATACAAAGAGTTGGACTGACTCCTCTGATGTCAGCTATTGTCCATCCAATTGCCATTTTGTGCTGCTTGAGTACCTCCAACAATTTATTCTCCTCTTCCATTGTCATGTCATTTACAATGATTACTGGAAGTGTTGTAGATTCTCCCAAATATGCATAACGAAGATGTGAAGCCAAGGGCTTTAGTTCAAGAGAGGGTGCCTTTTCTACTGAAGGTACTGGGGTGAAGGGATGTCACCAAGAGATTCATACTACCAATGTCTTCTTCCCATTGGTTGCTTAGCTAAGTTGACAACACGTTCAGTTTTTTCTGCACTTGTTGCTCCAAATTGTGCAATTTCTGCTTCACAAAGAACTGTTTGATACTCTGTCTCAAATGTATCTGCCACCAACTCTTCAAGAACATCAACTTGGTAACAGATGTTTGAAATCAGTGGATGTTTCATTGCCTTGAACATGTTGAATATGCCTTGCTCATTGTCCACCCAAAGAATCATCTTTCCATTGTAAACATCAGTCAGTGCTCTTTCAGTAGCCAAGAATGGTCATCCCAAGATTAGAGGGATGTTTGAATCCTCCTCCATGTCCAAAATGATGAAATCAACCAGAAAAATAAATTTATCAACTTTGACTAGCACATCTTCAATAATCTCCTTCGATCGTCTGATCGATCTGTTAGCCAATTACAAAGAGATGGTTGTAGGTTTTGCTTTTCCTAATCTGAGAGACCTGTAAACAAAGAGGGGCATCAAATTAACACTAGCACCTAAATCACATAAAGAATGCTCAAAATAGTTAGAATCAATTGTGTAAGGTATCGTAAAACTCCTAGAGTCATTTAAATTAGGAGGTAGCTTTTTCAATAGAATTACACTGCACTCCTCGTTTAGGCAGACAATCTCAAGTTCTTCCAACTTCCTTTTGTTAGACAGGATCTCCTTCAAGAATTTTGCATAACTGGGCATTTGGGCTATTGCATCTGCAAACGGAATATTGATGCGCAGTTTCTTGAAAATCTCCACAAACTTGGCAAAATGCTTGTCCAACTTCTTTCTCTGTAACCTTTGAGGGAAGGAAATTGGTGGCACATAAGCTTTAACGGAGATGGGTGCTCTCACTGTGGGTGTTTCTTTCCTTTTATCCTCCTCGTTAGTTGGTTGTTCAGACTCTGCTTCTGTCCCAACCTTTTCACCCATTACTTCTTTGTCTTTTCTGTTTGATCTCTTTACATGTATCTTTGGAAGTTGCACTCCACTTTTAGTTGTAATAGCTTGCACTTGCTCTTTTAGATTGACCCTTGTGTTGCCTGGCAATGTCCCTTATGGGCGTTCTGCAAGCTGTTGAGCTATCTGACCAATTTGAGTTTCTAGCTTCTTAATGGATGCTTGCTGATTCTAAAAGTTAGTATCAATCTACTGAAACATCTTGTCTATCTTTTGCATGTATTGGTTGAACATCTCCCCCAAACTTGGTTTTTTTCTCTGGCTGGTTATTGTTTGAGCTGTTCCCTTGCTGATTATCTGACTATATGAAGTTTGGGTGTTGCCTCCATCCAGAGATAATGTTTGTGAAAAGGGATTAAAATTTCGAGAGCCATTTTGAATGAAGTTGACCTATTCTTCCGAAAACCCCATAGATGTGCAATTTTTTGTTAGGTGATTTGCTCGGCAGTTTTCACAGGATGGTCCAGCTATAACTACATGTGCTCCTTTTATTTGTGACTTCACTAATAACTTTACCTATTTTGTCAAGCTGCTATCTGGGCGTTGGTAGATGCTGTGCTGTCTAATTCATAAATTCTCGCTGCTTTTGGAGGCACTACTCTTTATGATGAAAACATGGAATGAGTAGCAGCAATCAACTCAAATAAATCCATACATTGTTGCACTGATTTCCCAATAATTGATCCTCCTGCAGAATCCACTTGAGATTTGGATAGTGGTGAAAGTCCAGTGTAGAAATACTGCACTTGATTTCCAATAATGATCCCATGATTTGGACACTTCCTCATCAATTCCTTAAATCTGTTCCAGGCCTTGTGATAGCTTTCCCCATCTTTCTGTTGAAAGGTTTGAATTTTCAATCTGAATTTTGCTACTTTAGCTGGTGGAAAGAACATATTGCAGAATTTCCTGATCAGTTCCTCCCATGTGGTAATACTTCCATCCATTTTGGCATCCAGCCATTCCAATGCTGCATCTCTCAGTGTATATGGGAATAATCGCAGCTTGATGGCATCCTCATTAACCTTAGGAACATGACAATTTTGGCAATTTCTGAGAAACCTTGAGATATGTGTGTTTGGATTCTCATGAGGTAACCGGTAAAATTGCAAAGTGTTGCTCATCAAATTAATCCAATCAGCCCGTATCTGGAAGTTGTTTACCCCAAAATCTGGATATACTATGCTGGATCGCCAGGTGTTGCTAAAGGCGTTAAAAATATAGAAACTGGCAAGTCCCCTTCATTTACTTCCCTTTGCTCTTCTTGTTGAGCTCTCACAGCCATTTGTCCAATTGGCTGTATAGGGATAGGATTGTTTAGATTGTCAGTCATTTGATGCTGCTATTTTTGTTTGTGTTTCCTGTGTCTTCGTCTGAAGGTACATTCTATTTCCAAATTAAACGGTTCAAGATTGTCGCCTTGGGGCACAGAGCATACAACGAGCACAATTTTCTGTAAATAGAAGAAAATAAGCAAATCAAAGAACAATTAAAAATAAAATAAAATAAAATAAAAATAATTAATTAATTAAGACTAAAAATAATAGTTCTCAGCAACAGCGCCAAAAACTTGTTGTCGATTTTATTCCGTAAGTGGACGGATCGTAACAAGTAGTAAAGTGGACCTTTTGAGTCCGGATTATCGTTCCCACGAGGACTATATTTTAGTACTCAATTTATTATTCCTAACTTCTATTTAATGAAAATAAATAAATAAATAAATAAAATAATTGAATATGATTTTTTAAATCTAACTACTAGAAATTTCGTGAATGCAACAGAAAATTAGTAAGAATTCAAATAAAAAATGGAGATTAGGGCGGAACAAATTCACCTATTGATCACCTTTATTTCTAATATTGAGATTCATAAAACTAAAGTAATGTTCGATCGAATTCTTCTGTTGTATTCAACTTACCCATCTCGAGTTCTCGTTGAACCTATTTAATTAGTTCAATTCCATATCTCTATACAAAATAAATTTAATTAAACGAAATAACAGTTTTAAGAATTCCTATATGGCCGCAACAATTAATATAGGTATCTCTACACATTATATTAATCAACTGAATTTTAATATGTGGTCTAAACAAGAATCTGCATCTCTACGTAATTATTGTTCACGAAATCATTGAATAATTGGCCAAAAAAATTCAAAGCATTAGGAACATAATTAAAATCCACACATAAAATATAAAATAACAAGAATATCAAATAAAAGAAATAAAGGATCACAAATTAGTTACATTATTTGCCCTAAAATTAAATTTGGCTACTCATATTAATAGAGGAAAAATAAGGAATTATGGAAGACATCACCGAAAATTGACGGAACGTAAAAAAAATTACCAATTATGTTGTCTGCCGTCTCCTTTCCCCAAAGCCGCCTCAATTTTCTTCTCTCTCCAAAACTGCCTCCTACTGTTTTTTCTCAATTTCTGTATGTGTGTATCTCTCCTCCTTCTTTCGTAGGTTTTCTGTGCATAATCTCTAAAAAATTGACAGAAAGTGTGTGAAAATATAATAAATTGGTTGCCTCTCCAATTCCCAACGTGTGTGTAAATATATCTACAGCCTCAAAAAGTGTGTCAAATATAATAAATTGGTTGCCTCTCAAATCCCCTCTCTCCTTCTCTCTTTTTTTTTTTTGTTTTCTATGATGCATATATATTAATGTGATCCAGGAAGCACAAGTACCAAAGTCAAGTCTAGAGTCAAGCCCGAGGAAAGATTCGTTGATAGTCGAGGGGCCGATGACGCGATCGAGGGCCAAGTGCGTGAAAGAGGCGATTGGATTGCTCGTCAAAGCAACGGTTGATGAAACAATGTTTGGGATGCAAAATGGAGCAAGTTTCGTGTTGGAGACGAAGGCCGAAGAGTATTGGATCAACGTGTTTAAAGACGGTTGATGAAACAATGTTTGGGATGCAAAATGGAGCAAGTTTCGTGTTGGGGACGAAGGCCGAAGAGTATTGGATCAACGTGTTTAAAGCTGAAGAAAACGGAGCAGGAGCATTAAACCATGCGGCCGCACAGGTCTAAAGTCCTGTGCATAGTTATGACCAGACCGGCCGGTTCAGTCCGGAAACCGCTGAATCGGACCCAGGTCCGGTCCGAGCTCATTGATTTTAAAAGGGGACAGGTAACCCGTCTTCAGCCCGGTTGGACCGTTGGTTTTTAAACAAACCCGTGCACCAATTTCTCGTGAGCCGGCCGGTTAAATAATTACAAGGACTGCCTTCAATAAACTCTCCCCAATCCCGTTTCTACCCCAATTCTTAGAAATTAGGGATTCTTCACGCTTGCGAAATCAATCAACTCGGTTGCCGTCTCCATTTTCTTGCAATTCGACCTCTCCCAAAAATCCAAATAGCGAAGTTTGAGTTTTAAGAGATGGAACTCGAAGAGCAGGTCAGTCTATTTGATTTTTTTCTACAAAACTCGACCAAAATTGATTTTATAGTTAAGCTAAATTTTTGAATCCCCCGTATATGTGTTCTTCTGTTAATTTTTTTTTGTTCAAATAAATTACAATAAGAAATTATTGTCTTGTTTATTTCGTTGGTTGTGGTGATGGGAAATAGGCTTTTCGTTTCTATGGTTAATTCCAAAATTGTTACTGGGTTTAGTTTGAGCTTGCATGAATTTATTTTGCTGCCGGTTGTGTTTCATGACAAGTTAATTCCAAAGTTTTCACTGGGTTTAGTTTGGGCTTGCATGAATTTATTATGCTTCTGGTTGAGTTTTCATGATAACAGAGTTCCAATTTTCATGAATATTGAATAATGAAGTGGTGGACTTCTGACATCTATATTAGTGTCAAAGATAAATCAAATTTACATGAGAATTTTTGTTAGAGAATACGAAAATAAAAATTGAAATGTGAGGTCTAACAATCTACCAGAGTTAGATTCATTTCCATTTTTCTCTTGCCTTTTTCTTTCGGTGAAGCTGGAGTTCATGATTATGCTGTTACGTACTGTGATGTAATAACTTTTATGTTAATTGTTGTGATGTTTTAAATTGAGGCGAGGTCCCTGTGAGAATGAGTTCCTATAATTCTATTTCATTATGAACAGTAAGTAGGTGTATTGCTGGTTGTAGTTTGAGCTTTCATTAATTTATTATGCTTCTTGTTGAGTTACATGACATGACATTTATCCAATTGTTGCATTATTTCTTAGATGTATTGTCGAGTTATTTGGAGATCAAATTAGAAAAAAACAAACCTTTAACTTGAAATTAATAGTCTTTTCTGATTTTGGTCTAATAATTCATTAATACATATACATAGAAAAGTCCTAGATGTATTGATGTCTGTTGAGATTGACGTCGTATGTCAAGTCTTATGAAATTGCCTCAACTTCATGTACATTTCCTTGATGTTAATAAGAAATTGCTTGAGCTGCCTATGTTCATTAATTTTTCAATGGTGAACAAGCATGATGTATAGTTTTTTTTTCCTTTGTATAGTTCACTGGTGACAATAGTACACCGCATAGTTCATCTCCACTAAAGAATCGTGCTAGAGAAAAAACAGATATTGCATGGGGTCATTGTAAAGAGATATTAGAAGCTAGTAATAATGGAAATAAAAACAAAAAAAAACTCGTTTGCTTGTATTGTGGAAAGACTTTTGCTGGAGGTGGTATCAATCGAGTCAAACAACACTTAGCAGGAATGAAAGGTGACGTTGATTCATGTCGTAAAGTACCTCCGGATGTTAGATTCAAAATGAAAGAAAACTTGGACGTCTTTGCTGCAAAGAAGCGTAAAACTCAAGAAATTCTTGATGAGTGTAACCCACATAGTTCTTACTATCGGGAAAAAGAAGAGCAAATGTATAGAGATTTGGGTGGTGATGATGATGTTCAAGAAATCATCCCTCCTAATTCTAAAGGAAAGGGTATAGTTGTTGGGAAAAATGAAAGAAAGGAAAGGGAAATTAAACACTTAAAGCAACAAAATGGAATTGGTTCTTACTTCATGCCAAGAACAGGTCCTGGTAACCAACCAACTATCAAAAGCGTTCTTCAGAGCAAAGAAGCCATAGAAAAGTGTGATCTTACTCTATCGAAGTGGATGATTGATTCATGTATTCCTTTCAATGCTGTACATTCTGTGTATTATCAACAAAGTATAGATGCCATAGCAAGCATGGGCCCTGGCTATAAAGGTCCAAACTTTCACAGTCTTCGAGGTTATTTGTTGGCTAAAAATGTCAAGGAGGTACAGAATTACGTTGAAAGCTATCGTTCAACATGGAAGGCTACAGGTTGTACAATTATGGCAGACGGTTGGACAGATCAATGTAGAAGAACTCTCATCAATTTTTTAGTTTATTGTCCAAAAGGAACAATATTCTTAAAATCCGTAGATGCTTCAAATGAATCAAAATCTGCTAACATGTTGTACAAATTATTTCGAGATGTTGTGTTATTTGTAGGTTCGGAATATGTGGTCCATATGGTGACAGACAACGCTGCAAATTATGTTGCCGCTGGTAGGTTATTGGAACAAGAGTTTCAAACATTATTTTGGTCCCCATGTGCTGCTCATTGCATTAATCTAATGTTTCATGATATTGGTAAGTTTGATGAAGTTAGTAATATCGTATCTCAGGCATCAAAAATCACAAAATACATATACAATCATTGCTACCCATTGCATTTGATGAGAAAGTTTACTGGAGGAAAAGAAATACTTCGACCTGCTCCTACTCGTTTTGCCACCAATTTTATTGCTTTACAAAGCATTTTGATCCAAAAGGATCCATTAAGAGCAATGGTAACATCTAGAGAGTGGACATTATCAGCATATGCAAAAGAAAGTAAAGGAAAAAGATTCGTTGATGATGTACTTGATCCAGTATTTTGGAAAGAGTGTGCTACTATTGTGCAACTTACTGAGCCCCTTGTTCGTGTTCTACGCATTGTTGATAGTGATGAAAAGCCTTCAATGGGATACTTGTATGAAGCTATTCATGTGGCAAAAAGTGAGATGGAACGCAGATTTCAAAGAAGGAAAAATAGAATTGCTCCTTATTTACAAATTATTCAGAACCGATGGGATAGTCAATTGCGTAAGAATCTTCATGCTGCTGGATATTGGTTAAATCCTTCTTTTCAATATGATAATCTTGATATGGAAAATCATAAACAAACTATTTCGGGACTTTTAGATGTAATTGAGAGATACGCTTACGATCAACCCGATTTAAGAAGTAAATTGACGGGTGAAATGAGACTATTTAGGCAAGCACAAGGTGATTTTGGACGTTTATCTGCTGTAGCTGATCGCCATAAAATGGCTCCTGGTAAAATTTTATCCTCATATTATGTACTTTGTTATATTATATAACTCAAATTTTTAGTTTATATAACGTACAT